TTTCAACCAAATTAAGCTATAATGGAGAATGTTCAAACAGCATAAATGTAAATGAATGTACATATGTGTTTATGAATTAGGAATAGAAAGAAGTCACTTGGCCCCTCAAGCCTGGTCCACCATCCAATAAGATCATGGCTGTTTGGCTTATTCCATATTCCTATACAACCTGAAAAGCAAGTGGTTGAATGGTTATCAAGAATCTATCTCTGCCTTAAAAATATTCAAAACTCTGTTCCTACCATCATTTTGAGAGAGTTCCAAAGACTTAACTTCCTAAGAAAAAATTTTCCTCATCTCCTTCTGAAATAAATGACCTCTTATTTTTAAACATTGACCCCCTAGTTCTAGATTCTTCCACAAGAGGAAATGTCCTCTGCACATCCATTGCCAAGACTCCTCAGGATCTTAAGTTTCTACAAAGTTGCCTCTTAGTTCTGAAGTCCAGGGAATATAAGCCTAGTGTGAACAACTTTTCCTCACAGGAAAGCTACTCATTCCAGGTTAGTCTGGTAAACCTTCTCTGAATTGCTTCCAATGCGTTTACATCCTGCCTTAAACATGAGACTAACACTATACACAATATAGTGTTATGTCCTAACTATGTCCAGCTACGTCCTAACCAATAAAAATTGGAAGAACTGCGGATGCTGTAAATTAGGAACAAAAACAGAAGTTGCTGGAAGCTCAGCAGGTCTGGCAGCATCTGTGAAGAAAAAATTAGAGTTAATGTTTCAGGTCCGGTGACCCTTCCTTCTGTTTTTGTACATTCTAACCGATGCCTTGTATAACTAAACTATACCTTCTTACTTTTGTATTCAGTTCCCCTTGCGATAACATTCCATTTGCTTTCCTAATACCTTTGTGTCCCACACTAATATTTGATGACTCCTACACTAGCATACTCAAGTCCTTCTGCTTATCAGTGCTACAATCTCTCATATCCTCTTTAATCTTTAGGCCAAAATGGGCCATTTCATATTTGCCCACCTTGCTCCATTTGCCAAATTCTTTTATAGCTCCCTTATGAGTTCTTCATAACTTACTTTTCCATCTAGAAATTTACCAATGATCCTCGGGACACCACCTTCTAAATCCATGACCATTTCCATCTAGAGGGACAAGAGCAGCAGATATACGGGAATACCACCACCTTCAAGTTTCCCTCCCTTCCTGACTTGGAAGTACATTGCTGTTCCTTCACTGTTGCTGGGTCAAAATTCTGGAATTCCCTTCCTAATAGCGTTGTGGATCAACTGACAGCAGGTGAACTGCAGCAATTCAATATGGCAGCTCACTACCACCTTCTCAAGGGCAACTAGGGATGGGCAATAAATGTTGGCCAGCTAGCGATGCCCACATCCCACAGATGAATGATAAAAGAAAAACTATCTTCATCTTATTAGCAAATCTAGCAATTGTGTTTTTGGTCCCTTCATCCAGGTTATTTATGTAAATTGCAGAATGCTGAAGTCCCAGCACTGATTCTTACCTCATACCTCATTGCATCTTAACAGAGGAAAATCATTTATGCCTAATGCTTCATTCTTTCCATGCCCCTTTATCATAATCCTTTTCTTTCCACAGTAATTTTTGATGTGGTACCTATGAAATGCCTTCTTGAAATCCAAATACAGTACATCTTCCGGTTCCCCTTCAACCACAGCATGTTACGTTCTCAAAGATGTCCAATAAAATGGTTAAACTTGATTTTCTTTTCACAAAACCACATTGACTTTACCTGGTTATTGTGAACTTTTTAAAGCGTCCCACTATAACATCTTTAGTAATAGCTTTTAAAATCTTCTCTATGACAGATGTTAAGCTAACTAGCCTGTGGCTTCCTTCTTCCTTTTGTTTTGAATAAACATTTGCTATTTTACATGCCAATGGAAACTCTTCAAATCTTCAAATCAAAGGGGTGATGGCCTAGTGGTATTATTGCTGGATTGTTAATCTGGAGCCCCAGGTAATGTTCTGGGGACCTGGGTTCAATCCTGCCATGGCAGATGGTGGATTTGACTCCAATAAAAATCTGGAATTGAGAATCTAATGATGACCACGAATCAACTGTCAGGAAAAAAAACAACCCACCTAGTTCACTAATGCCCTTTAGGGTAGAAAGCTGCCATTCTGGCCTACATGTGACTTCCGACCCACATTCTTAACTGCTCTCTGGGCAGTTAGGGATGGGCAATAAATCTGGGATCCCCTCATCCCATGAAAGAATTAAAAATAAACTAGGGAACTTTGGAAAATTAAAACAAACACTTCAACTATCTCATTTTTCTAAAGTCCCTTGGATGATGTTTGTCAGGATCCAGGTACTGCCGGTCATAGGTCCAGCAATTTGTTCAGTAGCATCTTTCTAATGACTGTAATTTCCCTCAATTCTTCCCTCACTTCCATTTTCTGATTTACAAACATTTCTGGGATGTTACTTGCATCCTCTCCAGTGAAGACTGATGCAAAAAGACAGTTTGTCTACTATCATTTTATTTTCCACAGTTATTTCCCCAGACACAATTTCTTTAGGACCAACAAGAGTTAACTTCCTGACATCTTTTCCCCTTCAAATACATGCAAAAACTTTTATTTTACATTCTTATATTTCTGGATAGGTTTCCCTCTCCTTTTAGTCAATCCTTGCTGATTTTTTATATTCCGTCCAATCTTCCCAGCAGCCATCCACCTTTGTGCAATTATATGCTTTTCTTGAAGTTTGATGTTTAACACTTGTAGTTAACCACAGGAGGTCCTCCCCTTTGGAATATTTCTTCTTTTTGGAGTGCATCTATCCTGCAAATTCTGTAATATCCTCATATATGTCTGCCACTAAATCTCTACTGACCCATTGCTTAACCTGACCTGTCAGTTCACGTTAGCCAGCTCTGCTTTCACACCCACAAAAATGCCCTGACTGAAGTTTAAAATACTGGTTTTGACACACTGTATTCCCTCCGTCAAAGTGAATTGGAAGATTGGTCAGAATATTAATATGACTGCTACTACCTAGGCTTTTGGAGCCTGTTCTCTGATTGGCTCCAGAACGTGAATTTTGAAGTAACTATCCCAAAAACATTCTATGAAATCTTCATCTAGATTACTTTTACCCATCTGGTTTTTCTGGTCTATTTGTAGATTGAAATCCCCCATATCATCACTGTACCTTTCTAACGGCCTCCCATTATTTCTTCATTTATACTCCACTCTAACGCGTGGTTGGTACTGAGGGGGCTGTATCCCACACCCACAAGTGACTCATTGCCTTTATCATTCCCTATCTCTACCCACATTGCTTCTACATCTTTGCTTTCTTAACTGAAGTTATGATTGTGACATTGTAGCTGATCGTGCTTCCTACTTGATAAAATTTTGGTTACTTTTACCATTAATACTAGTTTAAACAAGTCAATATTTATCTTACCCATGCAACAAAGCAATAGCAGACCACATCTGCTTAGAAACAGTCTCAGAATTCTGATGGTTGCCTCAGAACATGCCAGAAAAAAATGGTATAGCAAAATGCTAGGGAGACTAAAAGCAGGTTATACAAAGGCAAATTTGCAGATTAAAGGCTTTTCTTTATAGAAACTTGATAATATTCTATGTGGATGGATAAATGACAGTGGATGATATAGAAGTTCAAAAATATATACATTTACAGGCATGTCAGAAACAATGAGCATTGAGTGTGGAAGAGTAGTGATTGTGATCACTTGTAGCTGTTTAATTTCTGACATTTGTAACTTTGGAAGTGAGCTAGCTTTTTCTTTCATTCACCTCCATCTTGGAGTCAATTTTTTTTGACACCCTGTCCTTTCACTATCTCAGGAGGCTATTTTGTGTTCTTTTATTGGGGAGTGTACAAATTGTAACATACAAGGCATCACACGTGTGTGGGAGAGGCCAAGATGGATGAGTAAACCTTTCTTATACCCATCATTATCGAATGTTAGGATATTTCATTGCTTTACTGGCACAAAAAAACATTTGCTGTCTCTGTGATAGGCGCCTACAGTCTTGACACTTGTCCCTTCCTTGCATTTTCTATTTTGTACATTCCTATAAAGAGTTTGCCTACTTTGGCATCATGCCCAAATCTAGAGACGTCAGCACATAACCTAAGCTAGCACTGCAGTAGAATACCTTACTCTCCAGACATCCAATGGCCACATACAGAGTATTCTTGCTTTCATTTCAGACTTATAGCATTTCCAATTTCTTTCTCATTTGTATTTTCATTACTTGTTCAGTTCTGTATTGATGTGAAAGCTCTAAAGTTGACCTGAGAATGTTGTGGAAAGGTTAGAAATATTTGATGTCTCTATCTAAAATTAGGCTTCATGAGATTTGACCTATAAAATGCCAAATAGAATGGAAAATCAATATGAATGAACAAAAATATACCTGTATCTTCATCAGACATGAAACTATGTTAATATTTCCTAAAGACATTTTATGCCTTTGCTTAAATAATGAGGTTTTTAGACTTCAAATCAAGATTTAAAATACATATAATGTGTGATTTCAGTCCATAAAATTGTAGTTGTATAATTTCACAGCATGAATGCTAATTCTGTCAGATATTTAACCATTTCATTTTGAAACAGATGAAAATTTTTAAGCCAAAGTACACAGTTGAATTTTTTTCACAGCATTTAATAGTTGTGGGGAATATCATCATTTTACTAAAACTTTCAACTATAAGTTCCAAGATAAAAAAGCTAATTCCTCTGCTAGTCATTTGACAATGTGAAATTCAATGCTGTACTGTACAGATCTTTACTCTTCAGTGATAAAAGTCCATATTAAAAATACTGGGTCAAAACTGTCACTTGTAATTTAGACTATAACATGTAGACTTGGATTCAGTTTCAACAATAAATGAAAAAGATATTATACAACAAACGCCAAATATCCTTAAAAATAGTTCATACTAAAATTAAATTGCAAATATATTCAATCTTCGGAGACAAAAGACAGATTCTGCAACAAAATGTGGTGCCTTTAAGTTTATTCACCCAAATCAGAAACTCCAGAGCTGTAATACTGATGCTTGTAGTTTTCCTCTTCCACATTTAAATTCAAACTCAAATTGCTGTGGAGGATCCATCAGTTAACAGGTACAGCTGCATGTAGAAACTCCATCAAATTACTGCTGCTTCACCGGTGTGTGAAGAATCCCTGTGGATGATTGTATTTGAAAGGCTTGATTCGATTAGGACCTCTAAAGGGGAAATAAGGAGTCAAAAGGTGAGGATTTGACAATACATGGAGCTCAGAAACTGACAAACTAGATTCAGTTTGCAGTAAAATGAATAAATTACATTTAATTGAACACGTCCATATTACACAATTTCCCCCTCCTTCACTAATAACTAAGTGCTTTTAGAATTCTAAAAGCTTTTCTTCCACTCCACCACTTAGCCATCTCTGTAATCTTTATTTTTTTTTCCTGAAGGTCCACATTGTACAGTCATCTGTTACCTCATCCAGTGGCCACATTTACTCTCATGTGGTCTCAGAACACATGTCAGTAGAGTGAGAGAACATCATAGCATACAAGGTCTTTTCCATGTACTTTGCAGCACAGGTTAATGATTAATAAAGAGAAATGGAACTCTACGTTTCCCTTCTGATCTCAGCAGACTTGAGGCTAAGGTCTAAATGCTTCACCAGCTGTGATTAATTAAACTTGATTGAAAATCAAATCTAGTTCTTTTCAAGGGGTATGGTAATACAGTGGTCATATTCCCGAATGAATGATCCAAAAACAGGAGTACAAATCTCATTGCGCCATCTGTAAGATTTTAAATTACATTAAATTAGAATTAAATCTGGAATGAGAAAACTAATATCTGTAATGGCGACCACTGTGAGAAACAGAAACTGCCCTTGACATCTATGTTAAGGAGACAAGAATCACTTACGCTTCCTGTTGCTGACAGTTATCCAGTGACGTGCTGAGCATATGGATGTTTGGATGCAGGTTAGGACACAAACTCTGCTGTCATGAACCCAGGAATCCAAAAGACTGTCAACAGTCATGATTTGGTTTCACGCACTTGGGTGCAGAAACAGACTAATAAGCACTTGATACTATGCTCTTTAGTGAGTATCAATAAATTTGGAGCAAATTTATTTTTAAATGATGTCCACAACTGACGTCCTAGTTGAATACCTAGAAAAGGATATTCTTTTATATAGGCTACTTTAAAAAATATACCTAACAAGGCGCAGACACATCTTCTCTCGTGGGAATTCCTTTGGTCCTTCCACACTATTATCATGAGTCTCCGTTTCCAGATAAACGTCCAGACACATACATAATCGCTGGATCTGATTTGTCAGAAGCTGATGTCCTGGTTTGGGACCCAACAATTCCTTGAAGCAAACATTAACCTCACCCTCTATCGCCTGAAAGAAACAATCCACATGGAAACTTCACCAGATTTAGACAGCAACCACAAATACAAATGAAAATTCAGACTACACAAACCAAACTGTTTTATTACTTTTAGTAAATCTTCTTAGATATGGTTATTCTACAACAGTCTGTAACTAGATCTGATGAAAATCTAAAAGTCAGAATATTTTCTTCCCTTCGGATGTTGACAGAAATTCCTTGTATTTGCATCACATGCTATTTTTAACTACTTGCTATTTAACTGAGACGGGCCATACAGGTGCTGCTAACAGTACCTTTAGCATTGTAATAATAGCTCAATAAATTAAATATGGGACAGTCCTTCTGTCTCCCTCATTCCCACAGAAAATAGTGACAACCAAAAATTATGTATCTTATTGTTCTCGTTATTCTTCAACAGCAGAGCACTGTTTCAGAAAAGTGCAGCTGTCACATATTTTAACAGTGATGCTACGCTTAGTTTCAGGAAACTGTCCTATCTGCAGAACCTAAATAAAGCTAGTTATTTTTCTGTATCAAAGTTTAACTGCACCACTTGAAGTTACTTCCTTCATTACATCTGCCAATATTTACTGATATTTCAAAAGTGTGCATTTTTGAACAGGAAGGATTACGTTTTGAGAACAGCAAGAAGGATAATGTGATGGTAGTGTTTTTGAGAGATGTGTTCTATGCTGTTTCTCTTGCAGAGAGGTGTTGCCACAGCGATGCCCAGTTTTCTGCTTCAGACATGGTAAAAAGCGTGGAGGTATCCCTGGGTGTTTTTTAAAAAATAGATGAAAGAAGCATGAATGAACTGGGTCAGGGATCACACAGATCCAGAAATGTTTTTAGTTTTGCTTTCAGTTAGTGAGAAAGTTTCTGCTGCTGCTGAGTTAACAGCACGAGTTCTCTGCTGCTAGAGGCTTAGACAAGAGGCATCCTCTTAGGAATAAAAAGAGGTGGACTATTTCTTTCAGTATTTCATTCTGCTGAACTGGAGTGAGGCAGCACATGAGAACCTTAACTGTTTTGCTAAATTGTCATGCCAAGTGTATGTTTATGGGATGCTGCCTATATCAGAACAGTTGATGATTAAATAATACATTATCTTGATAAGTATTTCAATAGAGTTAGAGTTATGCATTTTTTTTTTGTATTTTAACTGTGTCGTAAGAATAAAGTGTGTTTTGATTAAAAGTTCAGCTAAATACGGCTGGTGCTGGGAACTCCAGTTGCAGAGAAAAACAGCTGCAGAGATTCCTACATAAAATAGTTATATTCATGATTCAGGTCAGTGATTTCTTGAAAAGTTATTTGTGAGATAAATGTTATATAATTCAGTGGTTTGAAAACCTACATGGTTTTCAATTGAAGTTACAGCAAAATATTTTGACATGGCCTAATTGCCAGTTTTGTAGTACTCTTAGTTTAAAAACAGTATGTTAAAGAATTGAGAAATTTGATTCCTCAGTTTTAAGCTTTTGGTGATTGACATTTTGGTTTCCTGCCTGCTAAACAAATATGTGCTTTTTAAAATCAACCTGTTCAGGGATGTTATGATACTCCTCTGATGCAGGCGGAACATGATTAATTAAATTTGAGCTACTCAGCAAGGTAACAAAATGGCTATGCGAGCACATCACCAGTTTTTGGCCCATGTAATGCTCAGAGTCAAGTCACAATCAAGATAAGCTTGATACAAGACTCTAAGAATAGCTATTACTCCGAACAAGAATTACTACATATATATGTCCATAATATTTTCCAGCTCTAAGTACTACCGTTCATGATTTGAAAATTGAGTGATTATGGATAACGTACAAAGACTAGAGAATTGTACCAATATGGACAATATAAATTTACATCAATATAAACCAACTAATCATAAATAAAAGCTTTAACATTTCAATTAAGTGTGCAGCAACAAGAAAACAAGATGCCATCTTATTCCATGAATGCTGGGCAGGGGGGAGAATGAGCAAAGTAAAGAAAATGTACATTCATATTTTTATATGGCACAATATTCAGGTGTCAATGGGAATGTCACATAATGCTATTAAGATTAACTACAGTCTGCTATAATGCAAAATAACAGCAGTTTAACACTTCACCTTTAGATTATCATCATTACGACTCGATTTCTCGCCCTTCCAATTTAAACAAAGGCTGAAGATAGGGGGGATGGTAGAATAACCAGGATTCAACACTATCGCTGCATGGAGCTTAGCTAAGTGTAAAGAATAAACATTTAATCAAGTAAATATAGAATTTTTTTTATAAAATCAAAGGCAAGTTCATTTTCCACTGTTATTTATGATGTTACTCTTACACTTTATTTTGTTAGTGTTGCAATAACAATCTGATACAATTTGAGATTCTTAATAGTACCATTTTCACACATTCAGTATTTTAGCATTGGTTCTTGTATTAGCTCATGCCACTTATGACCAGAAGCTGGTCTTGTAAAACTATAAGATTAGAAACAGGTGGTCTTAATGAAGATGAGCAAAGCATTAATATGTACTCAGTCTGCAGCAGTTTCAGTTACCAGCATTGTTGTGTATGCTACCAAATATTTTAAGAGTTGTTAGATATTTAGCGCAGGTTGTAATTTACCTAGGCTGAAGTAGGACACTTATTTACAATTAAATAATGATAGAAAGTAGAAACATTTGACAATGCTACTGTATAATGCAACTTACACATTACTGCATCAATTACTTTTTGATTTCTAAAGAAAAAAGTTTGATGGTTCACTCAATAAAATCCTGCTTTCAAATCAAAAGTGAAACACATTAAATTATAATTCATTAAGATACAAATTATTTGGGGTAAGGAATCATTACTGACGATGCATGTCAGTTCCTGTTAGGATCACACTTTATAAAGGTAACTGAATTTATGGGTAAACATTTCATTCACTTTAAAACTATTTGATTAAACCTAAACCACCGATTCATTGCTGACTAAAAAAAAAATAATTTTCCATTGAATTAAAAGGTGTATTTATGTAGTTCAATGTAGGGCTGAAGTTTCCCTTACAGCTGTGAAACAATTGCAGGGTGATTGCAAAGAGACATGATCACTAGGAAATATCCTGTAAACAGATTCTTTTGGAATTCCAAAGCAAAGTTAGAGGAAAATTGTAAAATTATACCGAATTATTCAAATTGTAATGTCTTCACTTTGGATGGAATCTGTAGTTTCAAAGCTTGTACTTTTTGGGTCAGACCTTCACTGAAAAGGATACTGAACTTACAGGTTATGTGGAAAATGGAAATTTGAGGTTTCTGGGGAAACTCAGGTGGGTTTAAACCATAGTTTCAAGAGTTTAAACCAAAAATTCAAGACATGGAGTCAGTCGAGAGCAGATCACTCAGTTGTACAAGGCAGACAGATCCTGAAAATGAAGGCTGGATTTAGGAATTACTGGTGGACAAATACAAGATTTTTGCAGCTATTTCTGACACTTTAAAGTTTTGACCATGCCACATCATCGAGTGCCAGGAGGAGAGCTCAGGTGGTTTTGGACAAGTGAACCGTTTTGGTGAAAACCATGTTTTGGAATTCGGTACTTTTGTGAATTGCTCTTGGATGAGAATTGGTGGCTAAAACTTTGCACAAAAGGAGCTGGAATTCTAGCCAAGGAAGTTCATAGTCTGAAAGACTTTGTAGTTGAAATTTGTGTCATACATGCTAAGTGTACGTATGCTTAGTAAATACTTGGCATCTATCTTTGTTTTTTCTGATATTTAATGGATAATTTACAGTTTATACTGGCTGTAAATTTGCTTGTCAATTCATGATTAACTTTTGTTAATTTTGACTTGATTATTAAGTTAGAAGTTATAAACAGTGAAATTTTGTCCACTGGTTTTCTAGTTGCCTGTAAACTTTGCACCTTTGGTTTGTTGATCTCTATGGCGATCATAAATTATCAAAACAGGACTGCAAAAATATTCATTGAGTAGTTGATCAAAAGTTTAGAAGGCTGTCATAATTGCAACCGCAAAACATTTTAAAAAAAACTTTACTTACCTGTCCCTCGTTCTATCAAAGCTGAAAAGAATAGATCAGTCTCTTGAGCCATGTCTGCTTCAACGACATGCTTGGTAAAAGGCAGAGCCTTAGGAGGAAATAAAGAGGTTAATTCTTCAGAATCTAACCTTAAAAGTACAGATACAGTATACATAGCTTTCATATAAATTCTTACAATGAATAGTAACAATCACAATAATTGGAAATTACAGTACAAAAATCAACCATTCGGTACAATTTGTCTGCAATGTTAATGAGTCACCTCCCGCCCACAATTTTCAGTCAAATAGATTCTCCTGGTCTAAGCTGATAACACAGGTGTCCACCGCCCTGGTCAATTGTATCCTGGACAGAGATCTTCTTTTAGGTACAGGATAGATCTGGTCAGGGAGAATCACAATCTCTAGCATTGAGTTAATCCAACTGGCACTGGCCTTTGACAGAATTTTGTAATCCAAATTCAGCTCCAAGATTGGTTGCCAATTTTTAAATTTCCTCTCTCTCTCTCCCTTCTGCTTGTAAATGTGGATGATGATGACAGTCTCTTCCTCACCAATCAAGTCACACAGACAAATACAACTTGCTTGTAAGCGTTGCTTCTAGGAGTTTTACACTTCTCAAAGGACTCCAGGGCCTTAGACAGCTTATCCACGGTTACTAGTTACTCCAGTCTCTTCCACATACTGTCATTTAAAAGTTACACGATAGAGGACAGCAATAACTGGGAAGCAAACTGGTCTGTGGAGTTCACATCATACAACCCAGTACAAATGGAACTGCTGATCATCAAAATATCAGACTGGGATGGTTGACAGGAAATATAAATGTAAACTTAACATATAACCTGAAATTGCAACTGTAGTGAGGCACCTCAGAGTCATGCCATACTGAGACCTGTTAAACTGCTCTGTACCTCAAAAATGCCAAAATATGGAATGCAGTTCTACAATTTTTGCGAAAGCATTGCTTAATTAATAATTCAACAGCTGCAAAGTAGGAACTGGAGAGAATGAAAGCTGTGCCCAATTAAGACAGAGATGAGGAGGAATTTCTTCTCTCAGTGGGTAGTGAATCTGTGGAATTCTTTACTGCACAGAGATGCCCGTGGGTCATTAAGAATAATCTTGGCTGAGATACAGGTTTTTAACCAGCAAGGGAATCAAGAGTTATGGGGAAAAGCATAGAAGTGGAGTTAAGGGTGATCAGATCAGCCAAGATCTCATTGAACAACAGAGCAGACTCAATGGGCTGAATGGGTTACTTCTGTTTCTACGTCTTATGTTCTTACGATTATGAAGACTGGACTGTATTCATAAATCCTCAGATAACGAAGCAGTTCACGTGCACGTGCAGCAAATTCTGGACCACATCCAAACTTACGTTGATAAGTGGCAAGTAAAATCCATGACATACAAGTGCAAAGCAATGACCAATTTCAAAAAGAGTCTAATCATGCCCCCCTTGACATTCAACGACATTACCATTGCTGAACACCAAATTTTCAAAATTCAGGGAATCAACATTAACCAGAAACATAAACGACAGAACTAGCAAATACTATAGATAAAAGATCAGGTCATACACTTGTTACTCTGCACTGAACAACACACCTCCTGACTTACTACATTAGCAAAATACAAGTCAGGAATGTGATGGAATGCTCCTTCTGCATTTACTTGTATGTATGCAGCTCCATTAGTAGTTAAGATGCATGACATCATGTTGGTTAAAGCAGCCGCTAGATTGGTACGATCCATAACCCTGATTACTCACTCTTTCCAGCACTAATTGACTCCAATGTGTACCATCTACAAACTGCATTCACACCAAGGCTTCTTCAATAGAAGGTTCTAAACCATGACCTTCACTGCTTCATGCATGAAGGCAGCCAGCACATGGGCAACACTACGATCTCTAAAATAATGTCCCCACCATCTGTGAGCAAGTCACAGCATTCTGAACTGGATACATTACACTGTACTTTAATCTTTGCTGGGTCAATATCATGACCCTCCCTACCTAATGGCACTCGGCTCTGTTTTTATCACGTGGACTCCAACAGTTCGAGAAGGTGGCTCACCATCACTTTTTCAAGGGCAACTGGTGCTGGGCAATGAATATAACCTTTGTCAGCAATGAATTTAAAAATATATTCTGAGTGAAAAAGTTTTTCCTGTATTACATGTTGGATTTATTAATGACTTTTTTTTAAAAAGGGAGTTTCTCCTTTATTTTGCCTGATGCTTCTCATCCTCCCACTGTCTTCTGCATTTTTTTCTTTCTTGGTTTTAAATTTTTGATTCTTTTTCTGATCCAATCTTCCCCCAACATGGGTAGGTTTCAACATTCAATTACATGACGACTAATCTGTATCCTAACTTTGTGTATCGTTTTAATTTTGTTGTCTCTCATATTCTTACCTACAACAGCCTTTAAATGAGATGGACACATGCCAAATTTTGCTTCCTTAAAAATGCTCAGGGCAAGATAAACGTTTCTCTAACTCAGCAACAGAATAATACACTGTATACATCATTTCAATCTTAGGTCACATTTTTAGATTTTTTGCTAGTTTACAATGAAAGGACTTGGTACTGTACATTAATTATACAAAGGAACATCAACATAAAAACAGACTGTCTGTAAGCTAGAAGCCAATGCTTTGAAAATTACAGTGGAAACCAAACTTTGTGTCCATTACATCAGGCTGTTTTTTTTCTTGGCCTTTAAACACTGCATTAACTGTAATGCAGGTAAAGAATTGGAGTTTTATTCCCAAACCTCTGCTTGCACCAGTAAGGGCAACTATTTGGGGCTATTCAATTGCCAGCTGTTGAAAAAGCATGAAAGTGACAGGTCATATTTAGAGATAGTAGGAACTGTTGATGCTGGAGAATCTGAGATAACAAGCTGTAGAGCTGGATGAACACAGCAGGCTAAACAGCATCAGAGGAGCAGGAAAGCTGACGTTTCGGGTCGGTTTCTGAAGAATCCCAAAACCAGCCAGCTCGTCCCCACCCCCAACCTCATCCCAAAACCAGCACAGCTCGTCCCTGCCTCTTTGACCTGTCCATCTTTTCTCCCACCTATCCTCTCCTCTCACCTAAACCCCCACCCCCTACCAGCCTCATCCCCACCTCCTTGACCAGTCCGTCTTCCCTTGACTGACTGACCCCCACCCTAACTCCCCACCTACACTCACCTTTACTGGGTCCATCCCCACCTCTTTGACTTATCTGTCTCCTCTCCATCTATCTGCTCCTTTATCCAACTTCCATCCGCCTCCCCCCCTCTCTCTATTTATTTCAGAATCCCCTTCCCCTCCTCCATTTCTGAAGAAGGGTCCAGACCCGAAACGTCAGCTTTCCTGCTTCTCGGATGCTGCTTGGCCTGCTTTGTTCATCCAGCTCTACACCTTGTTATCACAGGTCATATTTGTTGTGCTAAGTCTCAATATTAATTTAAAAGAATGCTTATGCTATAATCACTGTATCACAACATGTGGCCTGAGAGTATAAAGGTCTCAGACTCCATCTTACCCTGGACCACTTGAAGTATGCCATGCTACCAGAAGCATTATTCTGTTGTCAATTAATATCTTAATGTTAGCCTCAGATACTAATCTTTCTGAACAATATAATGTATATAATAGCTCACTGAAACAAATGTCTGTCGGATTCTTCAATACTATGATATCCACAACCAATTTCTTATGTTATGGAAGAAACATAAGCCGTGTTGCATCAAGCAAAATACCCTATCAGAATCAAAATCACATCAATATTGAAGTCAGAATATTGAAACGGAGGACCTCAAACTCTGAAGGTACAGCACTGAAATCAGCAGTAATATTGATCAGGTAAGTTTAGAGCCAAGAACACTATACTCTTACATCTATACCAACTAGTGCAAACATGAGAAAAAGAGTAAGATTATCAAGGTGAAGAGATGGCGGAAACATACCACATAATCTTCATACGAAATGGCACACCATTTGATCAATCTAGCTATGATCTTCACTGGGAAAAGATGCTGACATTCACTGGATATCGGCACAATACTATGTTCTGCAGAAGAACAACAACTTATGAAAATAGAAATGCTATGCCTCCGAATAGCAATACACTTCTCAAGGAAATAAAATCAAACTAAGAAGGCATTTAGGCAGTTTATAGATTTCCATAGCACTGTCAGCAAGTACCAACACAGCTGACTCTTGGATATTTGGATTCTATTAGGAACACAGTTTTGATGCATTTCATATTTGTTAAACTTGACATTCAAGATGCGAAAACTGAAGTGGAAGAAAACAATTTTTAGCTTTCACAACAAGTTTATAGCAATGAGCCAGCCAATTTGGTACTGTGGTAATTTTAAATGATTTTTGTCATCCTGCAATTAGTTTTTCCATCTAACACAGTTTACATCAAAGTTCTCAGTGGACATGGGATTTGTAAATGTAACAGGTCACATATGTACATACATTGGTGTACAATTTGTCTAAATTCCTAATTTGTCAAAGATGCAGTTATTGCCTTTATAAAGCAGATGAAATCCAGAAAAAATAGTATGAGGAAACTGAATTTAAACAGAGGGTTCCAAAGATGTCTTGTGGCAAAAAGAACAAGTACAAATGCATATGGGTGTGAACTATTTTATTGTGGTAAATTGCTGGATAGAAGCAACAGACTCATTCTACTCAAAAACACAACATAGGAACAATGATGAAAATAATGCCCTGGTGTTCATGTGCCTCTTACATGTAGTCCTAGAATGGCAATGCTAGAGGTCGGTGAGAAGGGGATGAATGATTCAGTGAGAAAGCAAGATATATGCTGCAGGAGCAGGAACAAAAACAAAACCTGCACAGAAAACTACATAATCCCTACTTTCCTCAGATTTGCTTTGATACGATCTAATCTGATCTGTATGAAGATGCCATTTTAGTTTCTGATTTTTAGGTGTTTTGAATAGGAAGCCATATAATGGATACTCACCTAGTGAAGCAAACTGCTTCTGCAGAGCCAGTCGGGACTGCAACCTCATCCGTAGCAATTTTATTGTAGTTTCCATGTGACTGGCACTTACAGAATTGTCAGCCATTACAAATTTCTGTCGGAAATTAAAAAAAATAAAAAGACTAAATATAAAACAATCTTGGAATCTCTTTCAAAAACATAATTTTACAGAATAATGTCAAACATTCTCCAAATTTACAATGGCTAACAGTGACACAGTAAACTATCAAGTTTTACTATCCTTTTGTGATAAAAATATCCTGATTTCACTTCTAAATGGCCTAGTTCCAAAATTAAGATACGGTCCCTTTTACCTCTATTCTCTACCAGTATAAATGGCTTCTCTGTATCTACACTGAAGCAGACCCAGGACAGAAATATTAGCAAGAGAACATGTGCTGCTTTAGAATGGCAAGCAATTGGAGTTATGCTTGTGGTCAGAGTGAAGATGTTCCTGCCAGTACTTGCTCCCTCTGATGTACAGACCACATTCTGAGCAGCGAATGCAGTAACCTAGATTGAAGCGCATACAAGTAAATCACTGCTTCACCTCGATGAAGTGTTTGAGATCACAGACACTGAGGAAGTAAAAGGGCATGTGTTACACTTCCTGAAACTGCATGGGAAGGTAACTTGGGTGGGGGGAAGAGAAAGAGATGAGATATTGGGGATGATAACAAAGTATGGAGCTGGAGAAACACAACAGGCCAGGCAGCATCAGAGGAACAGCAAAGCTGGTGTTTCAGGTTGGAGCCCTTCTTCAGAAACGGGGAGGGGAGGGGAGGTCAGAAATAAATAGAGAGAGGAGGGGTGAGGCAGAGGAGAGGTAGGTGGGATGGTGATAGGTGAGTGCATGTAGGCAGTATTTATTTCTGAGCTCCCCTCCCTCTCCCCATTTCTGAAGAAGGGTCCCAACCCGAAACGTCAGCTTTCCTGTTCCTCTGATGCTGCCTGGCCTGCTGTGTTCCTCCAGCTCAACATTGTGTTATCTCTGACTCCAGCATCTGCAGTTCTTGCTTTCTCAGGTGTTGGGGACGATGTGGATTTGGCATGCCCAAGTTTGGGGTGGGAGATGCTGTGGGCAGGAAAGGAGCAGAAGAACCCAAGATTCTGCAGCATTCTCACAGCTGTGTTGGGTTGAGGGGTTGATGCCCGAGGGACCACCAGAACCAGGGACTCCAAAAGGATTTGACAGGGAACAGTGAATCTTGAGCCTGGAGCAAAGAGTCTCTTTCTCTGGACAAATTGGAAACAGTGGCTGCAGGGGATACAAATGTTAAAACTATACATTGCCAAAATAGGTGATGTAGATTCTGCATTATCACTTATTTATTAAATTGACTCAAAAGCGAGTTGGATGTTTAAACTTGTGCACTGTAATTCGCCTGAAGAAGGTTACTGATTCCTGATCTCCAGCTCGAAAATAAACTGCAGATGCTGGAGTCAGAGTCAATACAGTGTGGAGATGGAGGAACACAGCAGGTCAGGTGGCATCAGAGGAGCAAGAGAGTTGATGTTTTGGGTCGGGATGTAGGATCCTGACCCGAAAAGTCGACTTTCCTGCTCCTCTGATGCTGCCTGACCTACTGTGTTCCTCCAGCTCCACAGTGTATTGCAGAATTCTTTGTTGCTTTAAAGAAAAGCTTGTAAGGACGTTGTAATTGAGGTGTTATTTGTAATAAGCTTTAAAATGCAAGAAATTGCAATACTTGCCCACTGCAGGAAAGTAAAAGCAAAAAATGTAGGACACCATCACCCTTCTTATACTATGCAACATCAGCATATACAGAATCAAATATGCAGTTATTGGGAGAAGTATTATTCATTAACTGAAGTATTTTTAGGAAATATACTAAGAACAACCTTGTTTAGATTAATTAGTATTCTAAAATTAATTTGATAATTGGTCCTTGCTGATAATTCATAGACTGGTACAATTTTGTTTATGATGAATTGTTCATTGAATAAAATCTAAACGATAGTTCTTGCATATCTTCTTCACCCTCTGTGAACTGGTTCTAATGTAATTCTAATGTAATATGGACTGCAGCAGTTCAAGAAGGCAGCTCATTACCAAGGGCAACTTGGGACAGGCAGTTAAGGGTGACTATCCAGCAATGCCCATGTCCCACGAGAGAATATATTCTTAACATTTTACGTCCATTTGAGTCCATCTAATTTGTAACCAAGAATGGACAAAATACACTTCCTAAGGTGCGATGTTCAAACTGAATGCAGTATCCCAGATAGGGGTCTCTGACACAAGTGGTGGACAATTGAAAGATAACTTCCTCCCCTTTGTATTGACACTTGATTTTTGTTTTGTGCCATTGCTGTGATAACCAGATTTTAATGTATTGTGTATGAAGGCATGCAAACTCCTTTGATCCTCCATAGTTTCTTGCCTGACTCAGTTTTGGAAACTCTATGATGCCTTTCCCAGATTCAACTTCACATTTAACTTAATGTTCCAGTTTTGAACATATTTGGTCTGACCACATGCTTCTGCAACTTGCTACATCCATTTGCACAATTTACTGTATCTCCTAATGGTGTTATCTGCAAACATAGATATACAACTCTCTATTCCTTCCTGTAAATCATTGATTTATCTGGTGGAAAGCTAAGATCTCAGTTCAGATCCCTGAGGGACACTACCTTTCACATCCCTCCAGTTAAGGTATGTTTCCTTTATCCTTACTATATTTCTGACCTTCCAGGAGGAAGTAAGAAAGGAAAGCACTTCACCAAAATTAATTAGTACAACAAAATCATTTGCTGGATAAGAAATGGAAATTTTTGTATATGTAAGTTACTCTTTACTGTAAGTTTCAATCACAAAATCATCCTGACAATGCCTACTTGCATATAGTTTATGCTGACAAATAAACCTGAACTGCTAAAAATTATAACAGTTTTACATTTTTCTCTTTGCATTACTGAATCCCTATCCTACTGCCCCTTACCAAATACTAAAATTAATAAAAAATCAAAAGCCAGGTTCACTGTATCCGATAGTAGAGAACATAAGAACTAGGAGGAGTAGGCCATCTGGCCCTTCGAGCCTGCTCCGCCATTCAATAAGATCATGGCTGATCCTTTCGTGGACTCAGATCCACTTACCCGCGTTCTCACCGTATCCCTTAATTCCTTTATTGTTCAAAAAAAAATCGACCTTTTTTTTAAAAAAACATTTACTGAAGTAGCATCAACTACTTCACTGGGCAAGGAATTCCATAGATTAACAACCCTCTGGGTGAAGAAATTCCTTCTCAGTTTAGTCCTAAATCTGCTCCCTCTTGTCCTAGCTTCACCTGCCAGTGGAAACATCCTCTCTACTTCTATCTTGTCTATTCCCTTCATAATTTTGTATGTTTCTATAAGATCCCCCCTCAATCTTCTGAATTCCAATGAATATAATCCCAATCTACTCAGTCTCTCCTCATAAGACAACCCCCTCAACTCCGGAATCAACCTAGTGAACCTCCTTTGCACCCCCTCCAGTGCCAGTACAGTTCAGTTCAGCAGCAGTTCAGTGTTTGTTTATTATCTAATGAAGTGTGACAATACCCTATTGGACAAGGCTAACTTAGTTTTAATATACAATTGCCCAGTGATAGATAGATAAATTATGATCATTGACAGAACACAGATTGTTTACTATTTCTATGTAAACTATGTAAATTAAATCTCTTCACAATATTTCCACCATTGGATAGAACATGCTTGGTGTCTCTTCCATCCCATACTGAAGATGGAACCTCACAACCTCATTGTGATTAAGTTAACTCAGGTAAAACCTTAGCATGTTGCTCATTTAATACCACCAACAGTTTAGTGAACATCTCTCTAAATTGCAAAGCCTCACCTGCGGCTGATCCTTTGGAAAATGCAGTCCTCCAAGTTTTTGAACCCAAACATAGGGATGTCCTAGCTCTCCAATGTAGTCACTGAAAGTTAAGATTCTAGGGAAAAACAATTTTTTAACATTAATATGTAGAGATATATTATTAGAATATCCAGATTCTAATTTCTGTTCTTTGGTCAGTTTTGGTTTGCTAAAAATTCAGATTTTGAGAATGAGAAAAAAGGGCTTAGCATAACATTGAAATAGTGGAATCGGACTTAAATCCAGTGCAGAGTGGTGGGATCTAGTTGAACAGATCTCAAACTAGTCAGGTGAAAAAGGCCATTCAGCCCAACTCTTTTTATCCACCTGGAACAGACTACGAATAGATTGTGCCACAGCATCATAAATATAGTTAGCAAACAAAGCAATTCAGAAGTAAAACGTCAATAAATATTATACATTTCTAAAATTTTTGTGATTATTGCAATTTTATTTAATTGACACACTGCAGCTTATGGTAGTAAAGGTAATGAAAGAAAACACTTACCCAACTTTATCGAACTGATAGTAATTTGCAGGATTTGGAGTCTTTTTGCCATGGTCTCCAGGATACAAACAACTCAATAATGAGGCTGGAGACAACAGATCTCTATTTGCAAAAGATTTAAAAAACAAATGGCAGAGCATGAAGCTATCATTAAAATTGATCAGCAAAATTAAACAGTACTTCATATAATTATCTAAATGATAATTTTTTTTGCAATTAGGCTTTTGATTCAAAGCAAACAAGATGTTCCCATTTATTGTAATTTCCTCCAAAAATTAAATCAAAGGAATGGTCATTATTCGCTCACATTCTATGAATTATATTATCTGTCTCATAAATGCTCAAATTCAAAATTGTCTAATGATCAACCAGTGACTATTGTCCACATGGAGGTGATAATTAGAGTATCTTCAAATTGAGTCAGTCAGGTAACATGCCTGACAACAGGAGATTGGAGCGGAGTTGATTCTGTGTGACAGACTCAATAATCTGGATGCACAGTTTCAGTTTGTTTATGCCAGTAACATCAAAGCAATCTGGGCCAAACAAGCAAAAAGAAATTTATGGGTTATATCTGAAACCACTTAGGGTTTTTTTTTTTTAAGTCCGTGAACTTTTATTCTGTTTTTAAATTCAACACACTTGAGTCACACCCCAACCATAATAATACATCAGGTTCAAAATTGATATATACTGCTGGTCTTCAAATTGCATGAATTTTCTTAGGTGTTCTAATCGGCTTGTCTTTGAATTAATTTTTCAGATCAAAAATTATTGAAATTACAAGAAACTCTCAAGTTTCCAGTGAAAGCAATAATTCCTTTATAAAAATAATTTCCCATGACTTTAAATTGGGATAATCACAGGTTGGGGATTAGGCACTTACTGGAAAATGTTTATTTTTCAGCCACATTAATAAAATTGGATCAGGTTAACAATCTTAAAAAACATCAATTAATACTTTAATGTTCCAATCTATTATGCTGCCCAAATGTGCTTGCTCAGAGAACATTTCACATGTGATTATGCAAATTTGAAATGTGAACTGTAAAATGACCAGCACAATCTCCAATACATTTTGGGGGCAATTTCCTGATTGTAGAAACTCTACTTCCGACATCTAAGGCAGTTTGGACTGTGGAGTTATGCTAATTACATTCAAAATAATTACAGGTTAGTTTGTGAATAAATAGATGAATTCCTAGTGGCTGAATTTCCTACCATTTGGCCCAAAATATTCATGCAAGCCAACGTTGTACGCTGAAGAACTTAGACAAAATAAATAGGTTTCACTCGCATTGGCACTTACCCTGCACTGATAGCTATGGACATTTCAGTAGCTGTGGTCACTTTAGTCTTGACTGTCATTATATTGAGGTTCATCAAATAGTAGAAGTAAAGGTGAAGGATACTGCCATCTAACAAAAGAGGAAGACAGCAGAAAATTAGAAACAAAATAATTCTGATCAATGGTGTAAATTAAGATGCTCAAACACAAAGCGTGGCAAATTCTACAAATTGTGCAAAACCTATAACTATTTTCTAAAATTCTTTTGATACGTTTTTCTATAAATTGGGCAAATTTCATACAATAGCAGTGCAAATCTAAATGTTTGAAACAGATGTGAGCTAATGCTGTAGTTTTAAAAATTTTGCCCACAGTATTTGTCCTGAACATAAAATGTGACGTAGTTCTCTCCTCACAAAAAACACACAAACAAACATTTGTAGGTAGTAACACACTAGAAAGCTATGGAGATAGCATGTAAAGACAAGAGAGCAGTTTTGACTTTACACAACTATTCTGCTTTTGGTATTTGCACAACTGGCTTCTGTAACTACAGACAACATGAAAAAAACGTACGACTTGTCAGTGATATTGTGTTTGACGAGGAGGATGAGGGGTTAATTCTTACCTTTGTATTTTAGGTCTAAAGTAACGGACAGAGGGTGCCGTTTTAACATTTCTCTGCGTTTATCATCCAGTTGCAGGCCAAGAGTTGGACGGCGACGTTTCTAGAAATCAGAGCAATAGGCTAGCCAATGATTCATAGTCATTTTGTTTAAGAAACTATAAACACTACCTGCAATTAAGGATTGAATACTTCTGCAGAAGCAACTGAACAATTACTAGAATGGAATAACTCTGCAATGAAACTTATAACTAGACACATTATAAAAAAAGGTCAACAACATTTCAGTATTTTCCCTTAAAGCATATATTTTTTGTTAAACCAAATGAACTTTTAATTCTTCCCTTGCATGAGGATACACAAAATTTTCCTAAAACATACAGCACACCATTAAGCTGTGAGGATGTTTCTCAGTGGTCACTTTGGTGTCAGCTGTGGATCAATTTGTAAATTTCATGCTGCAAAGTCAGAAGGTGGTGGATTCAAGTCCCACTCCAGAGACATCAGCACAAAGATGGATGCTGACATTTCATTTGGAACAAATAGAGTGTAGCAGTTCTGAAGAAGGGTCACTCGACCCGAAATGTTAACTCTGATTTCTCTCCACTGATGCTGACAGACCTGTTGAGCTTTTTCAGCAATTTCTATTTTTGTCATTAAATGGTAGATATTGTTGGGTAGATATTACAGATTCCGTGACCTTTGAAGAAGTGGAGGCAGGCTTTTCTCCCCCCAGAATTAACAGTAAATGGTTACAAGAAAACGATAAAGCCAATTTGATCAATCATTAAACTTCTGAACGTATTTTTCTTTCATCATACAGACTCAATTATGCCCACCTATGTAACAGTATGCCTCCATACCTACTTAAGCCTAACAGTAACTGGAACTCTTACACATGTCATTTGATACTTTTAGATTTCATTATCCCAACCGTTGCTGGCTGACTTCCCATCCTCCAACACAGTACTATCAGCTTTTCAAAAACTTTGCTGCCTATAGCTTATCTTGTTCAAGTCCCACTCATCTACGCAAACTGATTCTTCCCCGCCAATGGTCACCTGGATCAGATGCCTGGTTTCCTAACAACTCAGATGTTAAATTGCCATTTATGTAACATCACATCCTTCTATTATCAATCCCATTCTTAACTGCACCCCTCAAGCACAAGCTTGGCAAAATGGCTGTACATTTCATTTACTCTGAACTCCTTCCTCATTAGAAGTCATTACTTTCAACCATGTTCCAATTTTTATACACTAAATTGATAAGTACAGCAAACTTTTTATTAACCGACACCTATGGGACCAAGAGTGTACCATTGATTAAATATTCCAGTTGGTCCAGAGGTTCGCCAGTCTATCGAGAGTGCCAGTTCATTAGGTGCCAGTCAAAATGAAGTTTGCTGTATTAGGTTTGCTTTGTTTACATAGAAAATAATTGTTGACCTTTGTACATTATATTGCATCTTTTATTATACTATATATAAATATTACTATATATACTAAGGATTCATTGCAACAACAGTGGATCATTGGTAGTGCTCACACCAGTGTAACAATGTTCCAGATTCAAGTCTGCCTCCAGGATTTGCATACAAAACTCAAGGCTGATACTCAATGCAGTAATGAGGGTGTACTGCACTGTTGGAGATACAGTCGAGGTGAAATGATAAGCCAAGGTCCTTTTGCCTTGGCTGTAAAAGATTCCATTTCAAAGTAAAGCATGGGAGTTATTTCCAGGGTCCCAGCCAACTTTAAACATTCAATCAAAATTACAAAAAAACAGAGTTCCTGGTCATCACATGGCTGTTTGTGCGAGTTTGCTCTGAACATATTGGCTGCTGCCCTTCCTACTTTATAACAGTGTTGACATTTCAACAATTACTTCATTAGCTGCAAGTACTCAGATGTCTGCTTGTTGAGAAAAGCTATTTAAATGCAAGTCTCTTTTTTGCTGGAGTTGATATATTCATTATGATTTTCAATAAAATCTACACTAACTACATAACCAGAATGCCAGTTTACTTTTAATATGGCAAAACACATCTAAGCAATATCACTGCATCTAAACTTTTGATCACACAATTTAAAAAAAAAGTGCTTCTAAAATTTCAGTTCCTAAAGAAGAATAGTAGTTACCATTTGAAACACTGTCTTGCATTTCCAGCAATTTCAGTTTGGTGATTGTTGGTTAATGGAATAGGGGTTTCAAGAATGAACTACGGCCACCAAGCATCCACCGATCAGATTGATTTCAGCTAAAATAATAGCTACTTACTGTTGTGGTCTGCTCCTCCTCTGCATCGGAGTCACTTTCATCATCTGCACAAAAATAACCAAGCAAAATAAATAGTGTTTTGATCTTGCACAATCTTAATTATTGAAAATAATGGAATCTGAACCCTACTGGATTGCCCCCACTGCTGCAATCTGGACCAAAGTGTCGATGCAACAGTCACCAACTGAGATCAAACCGAGGGCAGTACCAGGATCCTTCCTGAACCGTACAGCTTCATTAAATACCAAACAACATTGCTGAGTCAGTGGGTGGGAGACACGGGGGGATGGTGGAATTGGTTGCTAATTAAAGGAAAAGCGAATTTCAACTACAAACCCATTTAGCCTCGATTTCCACCCAAATTACAGTTACCTTGGGAGTCCTCTGGCGGTCTTGCAAGCGCCTTGGCTTCTTCAACATCCCCATCAATAGCTACTGTAAGATTCTTATCTGGCAAGAGAAAAATATTAACTTGATCTATGTAATCGCATAGGATCAATGTCAGAAAATAAAGATGGTTAAAACACATTTTCCTTGTAATGGTCACGTTACCTTATAGCAAAGCAACGCGACTCATTTTCCTTGTTACAGTATCTTACAAGGAGCAATGGTATCAGAATTCCATGTAAAATTTAATTAAAAGTCTAGCAGAGCACCAGGAAACTGCACCAACTGTTTTTCACAAGTCGTACTGACGTTACATTTTCAGTCCCCTTATCGTTCTATTACATAACAAAAATACATTTCCACAAATATCTGCCTTCTAGGCTGAAACTATCGTCAGTATCAATAAACCATATTACATTTGATAGGATGATATGTAAATTGCTCATTATTGTTTAGGTAAAACATATTACTAAGTTCGTTTGCAAACTCTTGATTGGCAATAATCAGAACTGTCATTGTACAATAACCAGCATCACTATAACAATTTATACTCGGTGATATGGGAATACCGTGATATGCTTTTGTCATTAAACTGATGAAACAATAGGCAATAAGCAGCCTTAGGCAAACTTATGTCAGGTTTTTCAGCATATTGTACATCTGAAATAAAATGAGAAAATATTGAATAACTCAGCAGGTGTGACATTATCTGCAGAAGGAGAAATATTTTTGTCCAATATGGGTTTTCTTTGGAGCTGATGAGGGGTAAAACAAGATGATTTTTATGTTGTGAGAAAAGGAAAGCTCAGGCATAAATTAGAGGGTGTGAGATATGAAATGACAAAAAAGTGTCACGGACCAAAAGGATAACGGAATGGTAATTGTTACAGTAAAGAAAAAGCCATTGATCCACAGTGAGTGTTAATGGCAGAATTAAGCACATCTGTCTGAAAGCAACAACATGAAGACGAGATATAGACAAGCAATTACTAGAAAAATTAAATCATACTGAAGGATAAAGTTCATGTGTTGTTCCTTTTTCAACAGCTTAAGTTCCATCACATTTCTACCTCTTTCCAATTCTAAAGCAATCATATTTCTTTCTTTCAGAGATGTGACCAAAATTGCTAAATTTTTCCAGCACTTTGTTTTTATTTAGGTCAGGTAATGACTGAATTGTTGCTTTGGCAATATCTTCAGGTTTAGTGCACCTAGCAACGCTGTTAAAATTTCATTCCCCTAGAACAATAGTGCTTACAACATTTACAGCTTAAATTCATTGAAAGAACGCACACAAAACTTCATATTTCCAGTTACATTACAGGATACAACTCTACGTTATTGGTTCCCCAACTACTTAAAATCTGTACAGTGCAATTTAGGAGAGACCAGCCAACTGTGAACTTGAGATGCTGCTGATTAATTACTACATATCCGCAAATTAAATGCCACAAGGTACCAAAAATTTTTAAGGTGCATAAAAATCAGAAATAAGAAGCTGCATGGATGCTAAAATGTAACTAATTAGCTGGATGAAGTATTTGGAAAAAGAAATTATAAAACAAAGAAGGTCAAATTATTTAACACTGCAATAATTCATACCAAATTTTATATTGAATGCAGTATTACTTCTTACTTCAGGAGTTTAGTATGCTCCTAAAAGTGACAAAATAGGTTAATGTATGCATAGGTGGTTACACCTGCAAGAGTGTGGGGAAAATACATTGTGAAAAAGAATAAATTTTTAAAATGTTAAAAGTATAAAATGTACCTGGACTTGTTGCTTGGACATGAGGGTACAATGATTTGTTGGTCAGGGATGACTGTAGCATTTACGGAAAATCAACCAACTTTAATGAAATTATTTTGTGACATCATAAATACATCAATTTAAATGATTGGATTGTGTGAAAATAATGATGGTGAAACTGCCAGCACTCTCTCAAATTATTCAATTGGTAATTTCAGGAGTCCGCATATGTGCACGATAATGCTGATACCTAAAAGTTGCTGCCAGTAATCAAATGATCCTCTAGGAGATGTGCCATTCACAACATTCCCTAAACAACCAGTAAATTGATGAAAACATCCAGTTTTATCCTATTAGTTTCTATGTTATTCTACATTTCGCTATTTTTTTTAAAATTTATAGTATTTTAGCTCTGACCTTAATCCAAAATAATTTTGCACTCTGAAAATTTCAAATAACATCTGAAGATTTTCTGTGCATTTAACGTTTTGCTTTTATGTAAGCGAGAATACTTCAATGAGTGGGTGCTTACCCTGCTTGGTAATATCACTGCTGGACACCTGGAGATCCCCATGACTTTGCATCAGATTTAATCTGCTGTTTGGAAAGGGGAGGTCCAAGCCACAGAGACTTAAGATTTTTCTGGGCAACTTTCCTTGAGTTCAGCAGCAAGTTGCTGACTTAAAATTTACAGCAAGATTTTTACCAGTCTTTAGACATGGAAGAAGTTTTCTTCTGTGTCGCATTTTTTTCAAAACACGTATTATGAACATGCTATGCTAATTATTGGTACTAATGGGTAATTAATAGGGATAGTGTAATGTAGACCAGTATTAGGATCAGCTAGCTAGTTGCTCATCCTACTGCTACAAGAATTGAATGAATTGAAATATTAACAGAGAAACAATACATTTAAAAAAAAAGAGTTAATACAATCATTGAACTAGGTCAAAATCTGCTTGCGTGAAGTACTGAAGTGTTTCACTCTGGTGATAACTTAGTATAAATTTAAAACATAAGCAGACAGGATCAGTCAAAATACAGGCAGTAGAAAGGCATACGTAAATATATATACATTCATGTGTGCACACTTAGACATTACTACAGTCTAAGTGAAACACTGCAATCTCTTTCCAGTTTAAATAGGTCTACATCAGCAAGGCAAATCTCATGCAATATGGTCAAGATATGAACCTAAAGATATGTTCTATAATAACATATATAGGAAAAATTAATATGTACCACAAGTCACAAACTACTGATCAATGATGACAAACTCTGTTTATTCCAGAAGATATTATTTTGTTAAATTTCCAATAATTAAGCTGATCACTGAAGAAGTTATGTTTATTTCTTATAATATATTCAAATCTTGAAGACAAATATCTCTTTTGCCATGCCTATAGCAATAATTGGCCAAGTTCACAATTGTAATTTTATTTCTCAAAATTTTAAATCTGGATTTAAAATATCATTATTTTATAACCTATACTGTTTGTTGGTAGTTAGAATATACATGCAGCACAATACTAAATGCAAAAAGAATTCAAAGCTTAAAAAACAATATTCAAGTCCCAATACTCACCCCGCCCATAGGGCTGGGAGGCCTTGTTCATCTGAGCTAATGGGGCATCCACCACCACAGCCAGAAGAGGGTTACAAAATAGGATTGCGAAAGAGAGACACGATGTCAGTAAAAGAAAACAGATCAGCAACAAAGCTGAGCTTAGTCCAGCAATTTATCTTGCATGCTAATTTAAAACTAAACAGAAGTAACTAGCTGACAAATGGCAGATAACTAAACCAGAAGTAAAACAGTCAAAGCTACTAGATTCAAGTATATGTTCCTTTTCTGCCTCACAAATGCCATCCAGTATGTTCTCTATTAAATTATACACAAGACTTGGTAAGAAAGCATAACATAAAAGGCACATTTGTCAAACTATTTCTTATCTGAAATAGTTTTTCAAAATCTGGCAACATAGTGCAATACAGAAATAAGATGGATAGAAAATATTATAGTAGCAAATACTAATATGAAGAAACGTTGAAGATTAATATGCATAACATTTCAAAAGAAAAAAATTTTAGAGCATAAATTTACTAATTCAACAGTTGCATATAAAACTTAAAAGAAAGTTTAAGATTTTCAAAAAGTTTGAATAAATTTTGTATGCACTAACTTCAGCAATTTATAGAAACAAAGTGGAAATGAAAACAAATACATCATGATTTTGAAATTTATACATGCCAAGATACTCAGTTGCTACACATTTGACTTACCACAAGCTTGCCCATATGAATTTGCCTGAACGTACAGCACATATAACGGAGGAGGCAGGTGTCTAGCTATTTCATATTGTTTATGAGCTTGGTCAAAGGGCATGGAAAGATATTCTTGGACTGGTAAAGATGCCTAATGGAGTAGTAAAATAAATAGTCAATAAAGCAAACATTGTTTATTCATAGCGGCTCTGCTGCTTGGTGCTTTCTCATTGCGTTTTGAATAATTATTCATTTAAGTTATTGTTTTAGTGCTTCGGAAATTTTTTTCCCTTTTATTCATGTTGGCTGTTGTGCCAGGCTTTCTCCTTCTGAAATCTTTTCACTAGACCACCCCAACCCACCCCTAATGAAAACAAAATTGAAACAAGCCACCAAAAAAGTTGGACAACCTTGCACCATAATCCTGAATAACGTTCAGCAGAGTAAGAAAATCAAAGAAGAGTTCCTTTCCCTTCCCACCTTCAATCAGCACTGAAATTCTCATAAAATGCTTGAAGTTCCAATAAGTACAAACTCACATGATATTATTTGTGTATTTGGTTTTGAGGTTGGATGGAGCTTGCAGTAATCATATCAACAACACTGGAGATGCCATAACTGATACCAACTGACCTTTCCCAATTTTGATGAGTTTCAAAACTTTAACAAACTGGATGCAAGTATTTTGTTTCATAAGTAGTACAGATGTTATATGGAGTCAACCATGATTGCCTGTATCATGACCCAAAAAATGCTTTTTAAACCATTAGTACACAATCAAAAAATATTAAGGTTTTCATATAAAGTTGAAATGCATTTACCCAAATACCTGCATAATAGTGTTAAGTCTTGGCTGAAGACTGTTTAAATATTCTTTTTTGATTTCAATGTCTTTTCGAATTTTCTCTTTGTTTGCTAGTGATTCTTTATATTTTTCAGCCAACCTATAAATGAAAATTAATGGATTGAGAGAGCTTTTAGTACAGAGACAGAAAATAATCCATCAAAAGCTCAAGGCAAAACTGAAAAAAATAAAAGTGCAAAGTAAGTGTATGAGAACATATTCATTGGCAACTTAAAGGGATCCTAAAGGTCTACTTTACATATATATAAACAGTAAAAGTTGATTAGGAAAAAGCCAATATCATATCTGAGGTACTAAATCAGTATTTTGCATGCCTTTATTAACAATACTGTCAATGTCACAGTAAAGGAGAGGAATAGAGACAAAAGATATGATAAAAATAAATGACTCCAATAGCAGAATTAAAGAAATAAAATAATTAAAGAATTAAAGAAATTAAAGAAAGTGCACTCCTCCGCCCTGGGTCAAAACAATAAATCCTCACAATATATTGGCTAGGACCCAGCTGGAGCAGTGTGCTCAGTACTGGCCACCAGACTTTAGGAATGATACGAAGAACTGACAGACAGAGAAGCATTTACTAGCATGAGACCAGGGAGTTGTGTGGAGAGACTGACATAAACTTCTCAGCTGTGTGAAGAACAATCAGATTTTGTACAGATGTTCCAAGTCTTGAATGGTTTTTGTAGACCACATATGAGAAATTGCTTCCAATGACAGAGGGTCAGTAATCAGAGGAAATACATTTAAAGCAAAAGGATCAAGATGGCACTAGATAAAACATTTTAACTCAGCAAGTAATGAGCCAGAACACACTACTTGAAAGGGAAACAGGTTGAACAACAATTTTCAAAAGGGAACGGAATAAATCCTTGTAAGAACAAAATAATTGCCCAGATATGGAGGTAAAGAGTAGAAAAGTAGAACTAATGGGATAGGTCTCTAAAGAAATCAAGCAAAATGAACTGAATGGCCTTCTTCTGTGTTGCTTCACTCTATCAACATCTCCATACCTTTTACGCTGTTCAAGTTCCCAGTCTAAGCGAGACAGAGTCTGCTGATGTGGATCACTCATGGTGAGGTTAGGCTTGCTAATGTCTAAGGGGGCCTCTTTATAGAATTCCTCCACATCCACCAAGTCAATCTCTTCATGTTTCGATCTAAAAGACAGAACAGAAAGACAGAAATTGGAAACATCTGCTTGAACTTATTTCAAGACAGTAGATTTTAGATCTGCTGTTTCACCAAAGTTAAAGTAAATTCTTATAAATTCAGACATATGAAAAGCCAAGTTCAGTCCAGTATTTCAATTGAGTGCCCATCTGGTCTGACATACAAGGGTGATGGTAATGTGACTTGTGCAGTTCATTCGCACCTTCAGATGCCTTTATATCTATACCCTCCAACACTACTATAACTACCACTGGTGTGGTACTATCTAAAGGTGAAGTGAGCCAAACTGACAGCCCTGTTCATCAGCACCTGCCAAAACCATGATCTCTACGGCCAAGACCCACAATTGCAGCAAGTGCATGGGAACATCATCTCCTGAAAATTTCCATCCGAGTCAAACTTCATTCTGACTTGAAAATATCTCATTGTTGCTGTGTCAAAATCTGGGAATATACTCCCACCAATGGCACAGTGGGATTACTTACTTGATAGATACTACAGTGGCTCAAGAAGAATGCTCACCACTTTCTTCTCAAGGGTAAGTAAGGATTGGCAATAAATGCTGATTTTGCCAGTGAAACAAAGAACAAATTAAAATGTGACAATATGCTTTTCTGAGTGACTGCTAATGCACAACATCAACTTGTATAATAAAAACTATCCATCCGAACATAACTTTAAACTATACAATAGAGAAACTGAGACATTTCTGGAGAAATTTGAGTCAATGAATAATGTGGAATAAACGGATTACCAGAACATTGAAGAGATTTGACACGCACCAACAAAACAGACATTTGGATGCAATAAAACAAAAAATGAGAACAGGAAACTATAAGGAAAAATTTATCCTGTTAATGGGGGAAACTTACTTGAACTCTAAGCACTTGGTGATTTCCTTTTGAAGATGCATCACCTCATAGAGAAGATTCTGAAGTTGAAGATGAAGAGCATCGACTTTCTGTTTGGCCTGAAAAACAACAGCTAGAACTTCTAGTATCCAAAGTGTTTACATTTAGTCAACTTGTTTGCATTACTATTTTTAAAAAAAGTCAATTCTGAATGAACAATGTTCAAAGTTCTTATAAATTTCCATAACCAATTCATGTAAGAGACTTGCTGACTGTAGCTACTAATCTATTGAGTTAACATTCCACAACTAATTACTTCTGGGGGAAAAAAAAAATCATTATTCTGTACAATTACACAGCTATCCCACAAAAGACTGGGCAACGTCTCCATAAGACAGCCAAGCAAATTTAAATACCTTTACAAAAGCAAACAAAAAGCATTCAGGGTTTGAGTGAAGATTTGCAGCTCAGGTGCTGGTTGTAGATGTCGGTGTGTTCGCTGAGCTGGGAGGTTTGATGGCAGACGTTTCATCCCCTCACTAGGTGACATTCTCAGTGCTGTGGCGCCTCCTGTGGAGCGCTGTTGTCTTGTACTGGTTCAAATTTATATGGTCTGGTTTTTGCAGCTTCCAGTAGGTGCTGGTTTGGCTTGTCAGACAAGCCAAACAGAGGACAGCCAGGGAATTCTTGGAGGCTTGACATTCATCCGCGACCTCTCTCAATAAACACATTGAAGTAGACCCGATATACCGACCATTACAACCCACAACCGGAACTGGCACTTACAAGAAGCAGCAAAAACCAGACCATATAAATAAGAACCGACACAAGACAACAGCGCTTCACAGGAGCTCCACAGCACTGAGGATGTCACCTCGTGAGGGGGCGAAATGTCTGCTATCAAACCTGCCTGCTTGGCGAACACACCAATATCTACAAACAAAAAGCATGTTCAGAAAGTTAAAAAAATAGATATCTTTACTTCTTTTTGAAATGGTGGTAATGGAAATGGGGACTGAAGCAAGAGTGATGGATTTTATTTTTGTCTTCTAGCCAATAAAATCCCAAAATGAAGAGACTTCAAAAGCTCCCACTTTGATGCATGTAGTACTTACCTCATGAGTTTGATCTCGACCCTTTTTTAACCTGATATGAGCCAAACGGTTTAACTTCTTTAGAGTCATGAAATGAATACAGCTCTGGATCCGCCGTTCATCGATCTCTGCTGACTATAAGGAAGGAAAGGAGAATTAGGTGCAGAGCAAATGTAAAGTACTTAGCACCTCATGGGGAAATTTTATATCTTGGGCTCTCCTGCTAAACACATGCCAGTTGTCAGTATTGACTCTTGGAAAGCACTTCTGTCATTGTGTTAGAAGTCTGTGTATTCAGAAAATTGAGCGCAATCTAGGCTGACATTCCAGACGTGTTCTCTTTGGATCAGAGGTGAAACCAATGCACTGTGATCATGTGAACATAAAAGATTCCATGACATTATTTAAAGAGCAGCACAGGTATTCTCCCTATAGAACTGGCCAAAATCTACTTTACAACAACATCACCGAAAGATTACCTCCCATCAGTCACTGCTATTTATGGGAACTTGCTATACTCAGACAGGATGCCGCACTACATTGCATAAACATTTACTTGACTGTCAAACACTTTGGGAGGACCTGTGGTTGTGAAAAGTATTCTTAACATATATTTTTAATTTCATTCTTTCAGTTGAAGGGTCTTAATTGAGGAAAGCAGTAATTGGCTGAACTGTCTTCACAATGCAATATCTGTAGTCATCTTTCTATTGCACATGGAAATAATTATCCTATTCATACAAATGCTGCACATGGATTCAATTTATGATTATCTAAGCTTAAATCATAATAATCCTTAACAGAGACCTACACAGACACTCCTCCTCTCTATAATCTGCTACTCAGATCAGAGACAAGTTTTAACTGAAGACTTTCAATTACTTGCTCAGAAAGATCTTCAGCAATATTTCTGAGCTGTGTATTACAAAGCCTTCAAATGGCATTATGATTAATGAAGAATATAATGCTGAGTTCAATTTACTTTGTCTATTTTAATTTTCTCATGAGATTTAATGTTTATCATCATGTGCAAGTATTACGAAATATCAACAAGTTGTAATAAATTCGCAAAACGACACTGTGTGAATGACATGAGCAAAGTTGAACATGAAATCTAACCAGTTAGCCCACGTAAACCCATTCCTCTCCCAAAATGGCATCCAATGACATTCTAAACAATGCTAATATTTTTGTCCCAATTAAATCAGCTCAAATTATATAAAGAAGTTCTTCCTATTACTGATTTTTCATTTATATTTGATTAATTTTCATTTACATCTTCAGCTAACAGCTCCTCAAAGTGTGAACATGGCACAGTTAGCCATACTGCTATCGCTGAGTCAAAGATTTGTAGGTTATGAATATCCAGAGGGTCACCAATGGCCACAAGCTGAACTGGACCTGCCATCTATGTTTACACTGTGGCTATGAGAACAGGGAATACTGCAGCAAGTAACCCATCTGTCTCCCCAATGTCTGTCATCATCCACAAGGTATAAATGAAAACTGTCAAAGAACACTATTTTCCTGAAACGGTGCAGCTCCAACAACACTCGAGAAGCTTAACATCATCCAGGACAAAGCAGCCTACTTGACTGACACTACAGTTAATACCTCAGACAATCACTCCCTCCACCAACGATACACAGTGAAAGCACTGTATACCATTTACAAGATGCACTGCAGCAAATCAAGGCTCCTTTGACAGCATTGTCTCCAAACCTACAACCTTGAACATTTAGAAACAGGGACAGCAGATGCATGGAAACATGACCACTTACAGATTATCTTCCAAATCACACACCATGATGTTTTGGAAGTATATTGCTGCTCCAGAAAAATATCGTTGTTCATAATGTCAGAGCAAGGGGTTGCTCATTTAGGACAGAGATGTGAAGAAATCTTTTCTTTCAGAAGGTGGTTAATCTGTGGTATTCTTTACCACAGAGGCTAGGTTGTTAAAAACGTGCAAAGCTGAGATAGACAACTTTTTAATCAGTGAGGGAATCAAGGGTTATGGGGGAAAGGCAGGAAAGTGGAGTTGAGGAGTGGCAGCTGTGCCATGATCTCATTGAATGGTAGATTGATTACCAAGGGGAAGAAAGATTATCCAGGATATGCAGGAATATAGAGTTGAGGTTAAAATTAGATCAGCCATAATCTTATTGAATGGTAGAGCAGGATCTGTAGCCTATTCTTGTGCCTGGTTCGTATAGTCGATGCAGAACAGACTCGACGGGCCATATGGCATACACCTGCTCCAACACGTTTTCGTTCCTTGGCTGGGTCAACATCCTGGAACTGCCTCTCCAACAGCACTGCAGCTATATCTGTATCAGAGGAACTGCAGTGGTTCAAGTAGTCAGCTTACCACTAGAAAATATCCAAGACATTTCCTTCATTTTACTATCTCTTCTGACAGCAGGCCACATCACTCTGTTAGACCATTATTCAATTTCTTTTACAGATAAAAACACAAAAGCAAAATTATTACATCCAAAAAATACATACAATACTATTTTGTATTACGTCCATAGTTCTTAAAATTTCTTCCAGCAGCCGTTCAACAGACAGAAAAAGCATCAGGTGTTAAACACCCAACCCTTTACTGACCTGCTTTCTCATTTCTTTACAGCTCGTCTAGTTTTAACACCTAAGGCCAGTTAGGAACTATATTAGACTACCAAATTGCATCATAGTAAGTCTTAAAAACAATATAGAATTGAATGTGGGATTCACTGCTCCTGCTATTTGCCTGGGGAAAAAGATTAAAATGTAAATAAAAACAGAACATGCTGTACATACTCAGCAGTCTGGCAGCATCCTTGAATTGAGGGAAGAGTTAACATTTCAGCTCAATGATCTATCAACTCTGGTGAAAGATTATCAGCATGAAACATTACCTCTCTTCCTCTAACCATAGCTACTCCAGATTTAGAATTTCCAGTATTTTCTACTTTCAGCTGAGATTTTCAGCACAGTGTTTGATTTTTTTTCACTTAAGTAAATTCAGTGCCACTCACAGCATCTTTTCCTCCTTTACTCTTTAATTCATGAATCTCAGCCATCAACCTTTGGAGATCCTCACAGGTTTTCTTGTACATATCATAGTCTTTAGCAGGGTCTCGTGTCTCCACTTCCGCCTCTTCACTATAAACTTTACTCTCCTAATAAAGAACACATACATGTATTTTAATGTTTTATAGAAATTACAAACAATTAACAGTAACTGATAATCTGATGTACATAGAGGTGGTTAAGTAACTGACATTGCCAAATAGGAATTACCAAATGTGAAAGGGCTGGATATAACATCAGGAAGGATTCTTAAATTTGTGGTTTCAGCTCAAACATTGAATCAAGTTTAATCCGGTTCACCTGATTATACCAACACTCGAGACTGAAATTATATCTCCTAAAATTAAAAAAAAACAGATGCGGAGATTTATCTTTTAACTTCGACTTTCAAAGGACAACAGGACACCAAGATACTCTTTAGCCCAAACATAACCAGTTTCAACAGAAATTTCGAGTAAAAGTCCAAAAAATTAAAATGTTCGCGCTCTCATATCCCTTCACATTCAGTCATTCCTACACAGTGGCACATGGTATCTGTCAGGAGGGATTAGGCTCCCCTTCTGTTTGTTGTATGTTAACAAACAGCTCAATGTGTTGGCCGGGCCGGGCCGGCCTAGGCCTCGGCACCCCAGCCTCATCGGATTCAGCCTCCCCCCTCTCCCCACCTGTTCACCATCACCCCGAGCCTTTCTGCTCTCCTTCTCCACTGTTCCGCCATCACTCCGAATCACTTTGGTTTTTCGCTTCTTCGCCGAATCAGCGGACATTACAACTTTCGAGCTCCAGCAATCGGACAGTGACCGGGAAACTCTTTCCACGGGAGGGAGTGGGGGTGGAGCGGAAGGAATGGGAAAACTATACCTCCCCACCTGCCGGGGGCGCTGTTTCTGCACCAATGTGTGGAATGGGCTCCTCCCCACCTGCCGGGGGCGCTGTTTTCGCAGTGAGGAAAGAGTCCTCCCTGCCTGTTGAGGGCGTTTGAGGTAAACGAACAAGCAGTGAGCAAGGGATAAAATTGTATTTCTGGACGGTTTCAGGAACTGCATGTAGTTTTTATTTGTTTTGTGTGAATTTTACACACTGGAAAAATGTAGTTACTGACTTTGGTTCACTCACTGGGAGCAGGATTCTTTTTCACAACAAGTGCAAAATCTCTGGCAGAATAAACTGTGTTAAAATGACCACTGGCATTAATTTTAATGAACTACCATACATTTTTAATTATGACAATTTTTGAATAGCAGGTAAAACTCAGAAGTTGGACTCTGCACACTGTTTACTGTAATTGCTGGAGAAACACAGTAGGTTTGCAGCATCTATGGAGATAAGGCAGGAAAGGTTTGAAGTCCAGATGACCCTTTTTCAGAACGACATTATTTACTTTATAAAAGGAAAAATAAAAGAAAAACCTGCATGAATAATATCCTGCTGATTTTTGCAATTTTGATGCTAAATGAGTTAAAAATCTTGTCTTTTTTTTCACTAACAAAACTAATCTTGCTTTCAGGCTCTTTGATGTTACTCATGCAGGGTAGCTGGAGGTAAAGGGTCGTGGATTCCAAACACCCGTGCATGTGTGATTATTTGTGAAGTAGAGTAAAGCCAAGTGGGAGTGGGTGGGGACTGGGTTCTGCAAACGTTTAAAAGAGGGCCTGAAGAGTTCTGCTGAAGAGTCACATCAGAATTGAAACTCTAACTCTCATTGTCTGTCCGCAGATCCAGGCAGACCTTATGAGTTTCCCCAGCACTATCAGTTTTTATTTAAAAGGGGAGCAACAAGAAGACCACATGATAATGTACCACAGTGGTTATCTTTTGGTCAGAAACTCTGAGTTCACATCCTACCTAAGGAAGTGTGCCATAACACGTCTAAGCAGGCTGATTAAACAAAAATAAAGTTATTTTGGGTTTTATGTCTCACCCACTGAATTGGATCCAAATTGATAGCAATCAACCTCAGACACAGGACAACTGCCTTGAATATGGGGGAGAACCATAAAATTTGGGACGTTTGATTACCCTATGTGAAGTAGACAATGTTAATTTTACTTTTGACATTGACTACTTACATTTATGTAGCACCTCGAATGATAAAATGTGCCACGGCAGTTCAATGGAGAAGTCTAATTCAAAGTATGACACGTAACTACATTAAATGAAACAAACAAAAGCTTGATCAAACAGATAGGTTTTAAGGGAGTATTCTAAAGGGAGGGAAACGAGCTATCAAGGCAGAGAGTGAAAATTCCATACCATAGGTCTGAGACGTCTGAAGTGTAGCCATCAATGGTGAAGCAATTAGAATTGGGGATGGTCAAGAAGCTGCATTTAGATGAGTGCAGATAACTTGAAAGATTGCATGGCTGGAGGAAATTACAGCATTAGGAAAAGGGCGAGGCCATGGAGGAACTGAAGGCAAGGATTATAATTTTAAAACTAACGTTGCTTGACAAGGAGCTAATGTAGGCCAGTAAGCAAAAGGATTTTGTCTGATTTAATACACGGGCAACAGCTAACCAAAATATGAATGAAGATTTCAGCAGTAGGAGCAAGGGGTGAGCTTGACACAAAGCCAACAAAAGAAATTAACTACTTAATATGTAAAGACCGCATCAAATGTTCATGGTGGAGCCAATTATACTGTATTGTAGCTAATAATAAGTAGTTAACCAATAAAGGATCATTTCAGATTTAAAAGCTACAATGTGGTAAAGATTAGTGGGAAATTAGAGGATTGGTTAGGTTTTAATTACCAACAAAGATGATCAAGAACAAATGAGAGAGAAAGTAAGCTTTGGGGTTAAACTAGCATGTAATATCAAAACAGATAGTAAGAGCTTCTTTAAATATATAAAAAGGAAGCAAAAAGCCAAAATGGTGACCTTATTGAGGTTTACAAAATCATGAGGCACATAGATAAGGTGAATGACAAGGGTCTTTTCCATGGGTGGGGGAGTTCAAAACTAAGGGACATATTTTTAGATGAGAGGAGAAAGATTTAAAAAAGGACATGAGTTGTAACTTTTTTACACAGATAGTGGTTTGTGTGTGGAATGAACTGCCAGTGGTGGATACAACTACAGTTACAATGTTTAAAATACTTTTGGATGAGTTCATGAGTAGGAAAGGTTTGGAGGGATATGGGCCAAGCATAGGCAGGTGGGTCTACATTAGTTTGGGGACATGTTGGGACATCTGGAGTGGTTGGACCAAAGGGTCTGTTTCCATGCTGTGTGACTCTATGACTTGATGAACATTAGTTCCTTAGAGAATGAGGCTAGGGAAATAACAACATGAACCAAAAAGTGGCAAAGGAGTTGATTAAATAATTTGTATAAGTCTTCACAGCAGAAGAGACTAATAGTATTCCAAAAGTACTAAATAATCAAGGTCAAAAGGAGGAGAAGATATAAATACATTAACTATCATTACTCAAGAAAAAATTCTATGGAAATTAATGGGGCTAAAGGCTGATATGTCCCCTGAATCTGATGGGTTACCTCCTAGGATATTAAAGGAAGTAGGTGCAGAGATAGTTGATGCACTGGTAGTAATCTATGAAAAAGCCTTAAAATTCTGGAAAAGTTGCAGAGGAATCAAAAACTGCCAATGTATCACTTTTTTTTAGAAAGGAAAGGAGACAAAAAAAATGCGTAACTAGAAGCCAGTTAACTTAACATCTGTCATTGAGAAAGTATTACAGTCCATTATACAGGATGTGATAGCAGAGTATTTAGAAATAAATAACACTTTCAAGGAGAGTCAGCATGGTTTCATGAAGTGAAAATCATGCCTAACGAATTTATGGCTTTAGTTTTAAAAACCATGTTCACTGAGTTATACACAGTGTTGTGTTTTCCTGGAACAGAAGTAGATGGGTTCTAAAATAATGGAAAGTTGATTGTCAATAATGTTCTGATATGCTTCTGATCAGGTGACCAAGGCATTTGTGGGGCCACTGTAGTAGTAAATCCTGCAAAGAGAAAGCATATTAAAAATAATTTTCTCTGTCTGTCTCTCTCTGTCTCTCATGTGGAGGTACAGAAAATGTTCAGTAACAGCTAGATATCTTCCACTCACTTTCTTTTGCAAATCTCCTTTTGAAAGAGAAAAAAAATGCCTTTAAAGACAGTGAAAAGATGAATTCTCAACTAGTGAATGAAAGAGAGCATCAGTGTGCAAACGACTTGTGTCAACAGCAAAGTACTAAAAGGAAAAGAAGAGAAAGAAACAACTCATTGATTCTTTGTAGTTCAGACAGGTGCTTTTGAATTGTGTTTTCCTGATTCTTCCTTTCTTTTTCCACCCATAGTGTTCGTGTCTTGTCTGACTGTGTGAGTCTGTTTATTTGTGAAGGGGTGAGTTTAAGAAGGAGTAGAGCTTAAGTTGTAGAGTTATAAGTTAATAATTCATATTTCTTAATTGCCATTGTTTAAAGACAACAGTTATTTTCTTGTTAAGTACTGAAACTTGGTGAGGGTTTTCTTTTAACTTGAGTTTGTCCATCAGGTATTGGGAACTTTGGATTGTTTACTTAAATCTTTTCACATTTGTGACAACTCTGGGTATCATCAGGTTTGACTTACAGCACGCCAGCTTAGTGAGCTGTGACAATTAACCTAAATGTTTAACCTACAACCTGCTTTGTACTAAAATAAAAATCTATAAACTGATATTCAATTCAACTACCATGAATGAGATTAAATATTTTGGGGAATTATGGACAAGTATTTTAAATTCCTGGGAATCGGGTTCAAAAAAAGTTGAAACTAAAAACTGAATTATAGAACCATCATCATGAACTTCAGGATCATCTCACATGCTTTACAGCCAATTAAATACTGAGTGTAAAGGTAAAGTTACCACAGTCCCAGAGGATCATATGGCTGCACTCTCATTAGAGAGAAACAACTGGTGGTGAATATAACTTGAGGTTCACTGCACCTCATTTGAAGGATAAGGTTGAGAAGACAGGACCTTCAGGGCAACCTCAAGCAGTACAGGAATTGAACTTTTCACTCTTGGCATTACTCTGCTCATAAAACAACCAGCTGAGCTAACCAGTAAGTAATTCATCGTTGGAAATGTTACAGCCAATTCATATGCAGAATTGTCCTGCAAGTAACAATGAAATATTGAACAGATAATGACCAGATTTTGCTGTAGGACCACATCTAACTGTATCTGGTGTTGCTTAGACCTGCTCCTGTAATCTTCAGCTCAAACACCTTTAGAGCACGACATTTCTTAAAGTATGGTGGAGTTTACTGCATAGCAAGGGAAAAACAACATATTAAAAGGAAGAGCTGCGTGAGCAGGGCAAACAATCTCCTAACTCAATGAAAATTAAAATTGGGAAATAAAGATCAAAGGGTTGAATAAAGAGGGGATTGAAATGAATTATAGATTTAAAGGGGGTGACTTCCCTGTCAAATAAAATGGAGGAAATAAAAAGGGGGGAAAATTGGATTAAGAGATTTTAAAAAAAGAGAAATGTGTTATCAATACTTATCACACATCACGGGGTATTTATGTTTTTAGTTAATAGCTCTAAATATCATGGGAAGCTTCAATTTGTATCTACGACGCAACTAAAGCAAGTTCAAAACATTCAAGCAGATGATGCAAAAGGCTGATTACACAAAACTAATCGTAGAATGGTACAACATGCAAAGTAATACTTGGACTTTTGTACTTAATTGTACATCTTCATCTAACCTGAAATGGCTGTCTGGTTTCCCTGTAAATAAAGGAGTATTATGAATCAGATTGTAATTCTGACAGTAAAATCTGGCCCATTATTTTTACTGATATTGGTTGAGAATAAAAATTGGCCTGTGACAATTAAG